GAACCCATCTCCTACATTTTGGGAATGTGTGTGCCCTCTTAGTCCGTCGTACGTCTAACGACTAACTTACAGTACGGCATGTGGGGTAAATCGGGACTTTTGTCGAGACCTCTTTTCGTCGAATATAACGTTATTCCTAAACGGACTGTTGAAAAAAACACCTTTCAATTCATTCAATTGGTTCTTGTGACCATTTCATTGCACTCAGGACCATAAAACTCCACACAATTCAAAGAAAATTGAACAAGCTCTCATATTTCTCATGGCCACAGCTAAATTTGCTACTGCAGCTATTTGAGTAAAAAATCAGTTCACTTTTTCTGGTTCACTCTGTATTCTACAATTTTATTGAGTTTGCTGCCGTATTCTTCAGGGAAACAATGAAACAAAAACCAATAAAAATGTAAAGGGTCTTTTCAAAAGTAAGTAACTCATTGATTGGGCAAATCTTCCCAGTGTTAGAGTTAAGCATCCTGTCAACTCATTAATCCAGCAGTTTCAGACTCAATAGATCAGAAAAGAAACCTTCTGTGGAATGTTCCAACTTTTTCCCAAAAGACATCCTTGTTTCCAAAAACTCAAAAACTTTTGGAAAAAATTTTTACGTTTCCTCATCTCGGTTCGAGTTTAGGAGATCAAACTGGGTAATCTAGTGGGGAAAAAGAACACAGAGAAACCATGACCAGAAATGAAAAATAAATGTAGCCCAAAAAGGGGGATGATGAAAAGTTCACTTCCTCCCGTAATATTTGGCAAGATGCATATGTGGGTGTCAGGGAAACACCTCTTGTGCTTGAGTCAAAAATGAATTTTAGAAATTATTGATGCGCACAAAGTACAGTGCATCAATATGTGCTGTCTTTATCCATGCAAGCTTTACACATACATACATACTGCACCACATTTGATATCTTCATTGTGATATAAATTTTATATGTACCCCTGAGGATTGAGATGGCTTCCATCATTCATGCACTGCCCAAGTCAGATGTAGCCAAGGGTTGTATTGATGCAAATTTTTTTTTGGCCAAGTCTACATTTTAGAGATGGAGAGTCCTTGTGGGCCACAATATTGGACGATCTTTCTTTGGTTGAGAATTTTCCTCTTTTAGTGACAGGTTACCCAGTGCTATGCATTGAATCACAAGCATTTAGCCATAAAGTATTTTTGAAGGGTGGAGCACCAATCCAATTTTTAAAATTAATTTTTCACAACATACATTTTGAGTAGGGGCTGCTACGGCTTTGAAAATTGTGAGAAAAGGGCCAGAGGATGGGCAAAGAGTCTCTGCTGCAGGCTGCATCCTGCCCTTGGGCCATATTTTTGGCAGCTCTGAGATCTATGAGTATATACTCTCATCTATGCAAAAAGCTTGCCTGCAACAATATTTTCTGTATGTTGCTGTTGGTCTGCAAGAAAAATTGTGGAAATTTGCTGGTGTGCAGGCCCAAAAGGGTTGATTTGGGGACAGTACTCTGCACCAAATATATATACAGTTGAACCTCTCTAATTTGAATTTTAAGGGACCTGCAAACAAATTTGACTTAGGGAGGTCAGAAATTTTATAGGTCGGAACTGCAGTACAAAGCCCTTTTTTCTGGAAAACTTGGAAAATTTTAAATTGAAATACAATTTGAAAGGCTGCTGAACTTGGAGGCAGGCTTTTATTTTCCCAATTAATCTTTCACTTCCTTTAAAACGCATAAGTTTCTGTTCTTAATTGCTTTTTTCTTTAGTTTTTCAAGAAAATAATGGCCAAAGAAAATGCAACTTACAGAGGTTTGAGGGGAAAAGCCTTTGACTTAGGGAGGTTTTTATGTATTTTTTCTAAAGGGATTCAGAGGGGATCTGAAAAAAATTTGACTTAGAAGGTTATTCAACTTAGGGAGGTTTGAGTTATCAAGGTTCACCGGTATATATTGTATATATATTTTTTTATGCTTGTCTCTTGAATTTTGTTGTAGTGACAGTACACCTGATAATCTAAGTGTGATACTATGTTGGAACAAACACTTTTTGGTTGCAAAGGGTCCTCTCCCCTATCTTAGTCAGTATTAGTTCTCTGGAACAAAATCTTTCTACAGCTAGTACAACAAATATTTTTCTGGTCTTTTGAATTTTTCGTTGCAGCGAGAGTCTACCTGCATTTGATTTCATCCTAATCCTCTATTCCTGTTCTGCCCAGCAGACATGCGTGTAGGAAAGTGAGGCCACTTGTGGGACGCCCCACGACCCGTTGCGCTGCAGCCTGGGTGCTGGAAGCCAGACGAGAAGCCAGTTCTCCCTCAAACCGGGTCTGTTCCTGACCCAGTTCCCACTCGTCGGGGCTGCTCCTGCTCCTGCTCCTGCACCTACCCATATACTTGTCTTCCCACTGGAACGAAAAACCCTTTCGCGCGGCTCGAGCGATGCAAGAAATTCTGCACACAGCATAGGATCAACCCCGCAACCCAGGGTTTCCCCTGCTGCTGCTGCATATATACAGTATAGCTGACGTGACGTATATACCCATCTATATACTCAGTACATGCTCATGACCTTCCAGGATTCCCCGACCCTTGTGCAAGGCTCGTTCCCCGCCCGCACGTCGCGCAAGATCTGTTTTCCGGGGTTCGGGATCCGTGTAACCCGACGCGTCGCGCGGTGAAAATGGCGCAACGACACCGGCGCCAGCAGGAGCAGGCATTCAAGACTCTGTGCCTGGGTGACAACACAGAGCATTCGACAGGAGGGGGGGGGGATGCTCCAATAAGGTATGGATCATCATCATCATCATCGTCGTCCACATCAGAAGCAGGCGAAACCAGATTTTCTTCTTTCTTTTCGTCCTCAACTCGCGTGTCTTCTCATATAATTATTACGTATATATAGTCAGTGCCGAGGCGAAAGTTTTGCTGAATTGAATTTCCGCGATCGCGATCGAGAATAAGGGAATTCTTTCTTTTTTTTTCCCCGCATTATATATGAAACCTGTTTCTGCACCGGGTACAAATCCGACAGAGGCTGTTTCATGATCATCATCATCATCATGTCCAGACGCCGGTGTGTTACACCCCTTTGTACCAATTTTGCACACTTTTCCCGAGTCTTTTTGAAGCTTCCATTGCGAGCCATGGTTTCCACGGGCTTTCGGGCAAAAGTTTACGATTTCTTTGAAATTGTGAATTTCATTCCGTGAGGACTGATGGGAATTCATTGCGTAGACGAGTGTAAAAAGGTATTTTGTTTTGAAGCACGAGAGATTTGTTGCCGAAGAACATAAAGTCTGCCTTGATTTTTAGGGCGTTGTTTTTCAAAAAAATAAGAAAATAAATGTAACCAAACCTGAACTGACATTTATTGTAGTGAGACGATGTCGCAGGAAGCAAACACAGTTGGAAAAATGTACTGTTCATAATCAGCATTTACAAAAGGGGGAGGTCTTCACTGTCGACTTACAAATGCCCATGCTAATGTACTGTACCCAACTGAAAAAAACTTGATGTTTATTGGGTTCCTTCCTGCACCAGCTTACAAAGATAAATTCAGCTTGCAAACTTTGGGCGGGGGGGGGGGAAGTTTAAATGAAGACTTGATATTTCACATGAATTGAGGTCCTGGTAAACAAGACCCTACTCAGCCTACTGCATGGTTTAAATTCAAGTGCACTGGAAATCTATTATGACCATGAGGTTTCATGCACTCTCTTTGAAATCGGTATGTTTGAAAATTATCAACATTTCTCCTTTTCATAAATTGACTTCTAAATGTGTGCCATGAAACTAATTTTCACAACAGAATTTTTACTAGAAAATGTTCACAAAATTTAACTAGCTTTGCATTTTAAATTTTTGCTTATTCATTCAAGAATAAAGTCATCCTTTGTAACACAGAAACAATTTTCCTGAAAAAATTGTGGAATTTCAGAAGGTTGAGAGCTTAAGGGTTCCATGTAAGCTTATGCAGATGTAATGTAATCTATACTTACAATCTTGTGCTAGCAATTTGCAGAAATTCCAAGCAGGTTCTTTGTATTTACCCAAGTGAAACTCCTCTTCATTGCAAAAGCACAGCTTGGATTTTAAAGGAAACATTTGACAAACCAGATCCCAGCACCCAGCAAGACATGCATCTGAACTCAGCAAAAATCCTGTTTCTTTCAATTCATGAAAATGTGTTGAATTTTGTAATCAATAAAATGAATTGAATTTAGCCTAAATCAGATGAGTTCACAGTAATGCATGTGTAAGGTGTGTTACTTTCTCCAACTTAAAATGCTTCTGTGATCTTGATTTCCTTGTCTATGTGAGCTTTTACTCATAATGGTTATACTCAAGTGAATCAGTGACCCTCTGCAAACAATGTCTTCATATATTTTTATTTCTACTAAAACATGATGCACAAAAAATCCCAGATTTTTAACAAACACTTTGTACCAGCAACATACAGATGGAGTGGACCATGCATGTTTGGCTACAGGTGGACTCTGTCTACAACCATCTTGTCTATCCTACAACAATTTTCTTTTGAGTAACATTTTTTTCACCCATGTTATATGGTTCTCTATAGCACATTGCTTTCTGGTCCCTTTTGAGTTTTGTTTTAGAGAGAGTCCACCTGTATTCTATACTCACTTCAATACTGCACTAAACTTTGAAAGAATGTTTTTTTATTGTCACCAGCAGATTAAATGTTTTTTTTCATTACAATATGAAGGAAATCAAGCTTTGGATTGCAAAAAGTCTTTGTATGTAACAGCCAGTGTCAAAGAATGGTTAACTTTTGCCATGTGCACAGCAGTACTGTACTGTATTCAGTCAATGAAGGGCAGTATATTACAAGGAATGAGGCAAACAATCCAGGCAGGTGCATACAGGTGTACTCTCTCAACAATGAAACTCAAGGGACCAGAAAAAAATGCGCATTGCAGAGAACCAGTTCAACATGGGGAGAGAGAGAACCAGATGTGGGAACAAATAAAAATTCGTTACACTGTGCAGAGAAATTCGTTGTAGACGAGATGGTTGTAGAGAGAGAGAGAGAGAGTCCGCAGTTGCGCACGGTACACGCCTGCTACACCGGTGTGCACATTCCTGCTGGCTCCCACTTCCTGTTGGTTCCTGCCGGGATCGGGGTCCCATCGCGCAGTTTGGCACCAGACGAGCCGCAGTGCGCATGCGTGTGAGTCGGACGATGAGTAGTGCCTCTTTCCCACCCGGACTCCTTCGGGGTGTTGCTGCATATGATCTCTGATGGGGTTTTCGTTCGGGGGGGACATCATCGAGAGGCAGGACGAGGGATATGCAGAGATGCGTGTGATTGATGAATGCGTTTGTGCTTTTCTCGGAAATGAGGCCGCGATATGAGTTTCGAGGTTCCGCGTGACAGACTCGCATACTTCGTACGTGCTGCCGGTGGTGTTCATCAAATTTCCCTCTGAAAGCTGTTCTTTTTTCGTTCGTTCTTTTGATGCTTTATATCGGGGTCGTTTAAGAAAAGAAAAGAAACAAGAAAAGCTCTGTATGCGTCAACCCCGCAGCAGTATATTATGAAAAATTCGTTGCATCAAAATTCTTTCTTTTCGCACATTTTAGGTAGACATTTCGTGGGAAATGAGTGATAAACCCTGAAGTGTTTCTAGAACAGACACAGTAATTAAATATTTTCCATGATCTTCAAGCCTCTCTGATGAAGTTTCATGAAAAATACTGCACATTGCCGTAGTGTACTTCTCTCGTATTGAACCTGTATTTCAACGTAATGTTCCGGAAATCTTTACAAATAGGATGAAAGAGAAGCACATGATGTTGGAGAATTCGTTTTCAAAACCCATTGATTCATTCATACCTCCGTCTTTGAAGTAAAATGCATTTTTTCTGACACACTGTTTGATTTGAAGGAAAGACGTAAATTCTAACATCAAATTGAAGATCGAACTTCCAAGAAGTATGACGCGGCATCAGTGGATGGAGTTTGATGCGTATTTCCGGGGCATTCATCATCGCCGTCCGGGGGATTTTCGACCCCTTCCGCGCGGAATTCAACCTTCGTTCATTGAGCATCCAGGCTTTTCACCAATAACTACTGATTTCTACCGTACAGTACTAGTGTAAGAGAGGTTTATTCGACTTTGAAGACGATGCCGTGCATTATTATACTGCTGCAGTTATGTTCAATGAATGGATGCGAATGAGATGATTTGAATTCAACTGCGGACGTACGCTCCAAGTTCGTAGCAAGACGCACGAGGCGAAATGTTTCCACAAATGACTCGTGTGCCGTGAAATTCCAATTCCGTTACAAAGACTCATCACAGTATGTAGCTTTTTTTTTCTCGGTCCCACCCATGCTTTAAAAAAACTCTATGAAACGCACACTAATTTTTGCCTCTGATTCTGTGAATGAGCCAAATAGGGATTATTTCGTAATTGGCAAAATAAAATGGAGGGGGTGTGCGTGGTGCAGAATTCAAACTTTATCAGAGAATTTAGTGGTCTACCAAAAAAAACAGCGCGTCATACTTCTTGGAAGTTGATTAATTTGATGTTAGAATTCATGTCTTTCTTCCAAATCAATCAGTACGTCAGAAAAAAATTAATTTTACTTCAAAGGAGGAGGTATGAATGAATCATTGGGTTTCGAAAAAGAATTTTCATGCATGTGCTTCTCTTCCATTCTATTTTTTCAAGATAACCGGAACATTATGTTGAAATGCAGGGTCAAGAGAAGTACAGTACAGTGATGTACAGTATTTTTATGAAACATTTTTATGATTTCATCAGAGAGGCTTGAAGATTACGGAAAGTATTTAATTACTGTGTCTGTTCTGGGAACACTTTAGTTTTCATCACTCAGTTCCCACGAAATGTCTTGTCTAAAATGTATGAAAAGAAATAACTTCGCAACTAATTTTTCACGAGATCCTCAAGCGTTTGTCATACCTAGATTTTACTGTACTGTATATGCAATAATGAGTAACGCGGACACTCTACACATTGATTGGAAGTGTCTTTGAGCTGATGATTCTCACTGCTTCACGAAAAGATCCGTTAAAATGAGAATTTTGTATTCCGATTTTCGGGGCGGGGGAGGATTGACTCGCATATCAATGATAGTGTTAACAGTTATCCAAAGGAAATTTTTGCATCAACAAAAAAAGCGCGAGTTTTGCATTTCAACCTTCGATTCTCTTCTGCGCAAGAGAAAATAGAAAGTTGCGAAAATCGGTGAAATTTTGCAGAGGTGCGAGCTTAAAATTGCCAGGATTACTCGAATGGGATGACATACGCCAGTCTCGCTTCCGCTTGAAATTTAATTCACTGAACGAACAGGTTTTCAATACGGTGATGCAGAATTTTTTCTTCGCGCTGACTGGACCGGATTACCTTCATTATACAGTAATACAGGATCTCAACTCTTCTGGGGAGAATCGCGTTTTGCATGATGATGGGAAGGAGTGCGAATTACGCGGAGGGTCAGGGAACTGTATCGCGGATGAATTTCGTCTTGCGTCATGGGCCCATGTACTGCGGTAGAGTACAGCAAAATGCCGTACCGCAATAACCTTGCAGGAGCAACTGTGTTTTCGGGGCATGCAAGAGTACATTGAAGCCATTGCCTGGTGGTGGTGTAATTGTCATACTGTACTAGCTGTACTGTAGACCCAGCTCTGCGCCCATCCATCAAACAACAAGAGGGTTTATATTGCTCGCGTCGACATCTGTGCCGTCACAAGTGTGTTGTCTTCGAGAGTGGTACTGTGTTGTACATACGAGTACAGTGTGTGCATTTTGGAGTAAGGAGGCAGAAAAGGCCCTCGGGCAGAGCTGCCTTTACTGTATTTATGGCAAGAGTGTTCTTTTCTGTGTGTAAAAACTCTGGACCCTCATCATCGCCACCACATTGATACCCTCTTTACCAGCACAGCACCATGCTCCTTGTTAATACACTAAAGTACAATAAAATCTCGTTACAACAAATGCCTGGGGACCTGAGAAAAAATGTGTTGAAACAAAAAATTTGCTGCATCAAGATTCATGATTTTTAGCACATTTCAGACAACAGTTCTATTGGAAATGGGGAATACGTGCATTAAAATGCTTCTAAAACACAGAATTCAAGACCTAGCATAATTAGTGATTACAGTACTTCTGATGAATTGAAGGGAAATCCATTAATATAAAAAGTACTCTCCTTTAAATAAACCAACATTTGTACTGGAGTATTGCTGGTCATGGAATATGAAAACAAAATTACATATGGTAAACATGCCCCATTTCCTTCTCAATCAACTTATCCACTCATGGCTCTTTCTAAAATAGTGGAACATTCTTCTAACATACTGTTTATTTGAAGAAGGCATATTCTAAAATGGATGAGCTAAAGCATTTCAAAAAATATGTCCTAGCTTTGGTGTATTTTTTGGATAGCAAGTTTTCTTTGCATAAAGATTTTTTTATGAAGTTGTAAATGCTGCATCTTTTAATGTTTCCTAAAATTTCTGCCATTTCTAGAGTATTCCCTATATGGGCTGTGCACATAATCATGGCAAAAATTTGTCATAATGAGATTACAGCCTAAAATTGATTTGTTATGGCAAAATTTTTATGACATTATGCCTACGTAAAACTGCCAGGACCAAGAAAACAGTTTGTTATAAAAACATTTTTAATGAGATTCATTGTAATGGAAATATATTGTATAAGAAAATTCAAGGAGCTGTATATTTTTTTGCACTTATACTGGAACCACTTGTATACAAAGATTTTGAGAAGAGGGCAGTCTTTGCATGAGACTGGTATGCAGTCAAACCCAAGTCAAACTTCAAGGGACCAGCAAAAATAATTAAATTTCTGGAAGTTTATAGTTGGGGAAACAAGCATTTGTGCTGTTGCGGGGAAAAGAAAGGTATAGGAAATTGTAATTGGTGATTTTCTAGGCCTTGTGTTGCTTCTTAAATAAGTTGAAAGGATGCTGAAATTGGAGACAAGGGTTTATTTACCCAATTAGTTTTCACTGCCTTTCAAAAGACAAACCCTTGTGTGGCAAAGTCAGGATATTTTTGCCAAATGTAGTCTCCATGAGCTTTGCAAATTTAAAAAATCTGATTTTTGAACCAAGGCTTAAGTCAGGAAAAAGTGCATTACTTTCTTTAATACTGTAGAAAACTTTTCCAAAAAAATAAAAAAAGATTCTTCATTAGGTGGCATTTTTTACATGCCTTCTCAGCGTAGAATTAATTCAAGGGATTTTTTGAGACAATGGGATTTTTGCATCCAGATTTTTTCCAACTTAGGCTTTGGTAAAACTGAAATGTCCCTCCTCCCGAAAAAAAAAAATCCTGACTTTACCTCAGGACAGCCAGGAACCCTCCACCGTACAAGGGTTCACCAATTGGGAGAGAATGTTTGAGGATAAATTGTGTAAAGGTAACAAGTTCAACTTGGTTGAAAGGTTTTTAATACATTTTTTTAAGGGAGTTCATACGGGAACTTTAAAAACAATTTGACATAGGGAGGTATTTGACTTTGGGAGGTTCAACTGCTTATGATACTGTATTTCCAAAACTCCGTTTTCTTTGACCAAAAACAGACTCAAATAATTTTACGGAAACAAATGCTGAAATTTCGACGGTAAACTTCTGAAATGATGAATTCAACTGTGCTCATTTATTTGGTTTTGTTTCGTATTTCAGTGTGTTTAAATCATGCGTAACGAAATGACCTCACTCATTTGAGTCTCTGAAAATAACTTTTTTAACTTGGCTAAATGTGCCAGCCACTTTGACGCGCCCCATCAAGCGTGTGAAGAACTTGCAGGAATAAAATTCACGTCCCCCACTTTTTGAATTCAGTTTTTTATTGTTGGAAAGAGGTACTGCGTGAATGGTATGGTATACAGTACAGCAGTGCTTGAATAAACGTGGTACTGTACTGTATATCGGAGCTTCATCATGCAATGTATTGTACTCTTCTGTTCAGGTTGGTTTTCTCGAGGTACGAGAGAGAGAGAGAGACAGTGACAGAGGCAGACATACAGAGAGATCTGCGGGATCACCGTACTTGAGACGGAATTTTGAAAGAAGAACACGAGAAACAATCAGTGCTGTCTGTAAGAAAGAAAGAAAGAAAGAAAGAAAAGGCCACCAGCAGGTGATCTACTGCTGCTGCTGCTGCTGCATCCGGGACAGCCGACGTCTTCCGAGTCTTGACTGCAGCTGAGGTGGGTGCTGGTGCTGTGGTGGTTGCTCATTCGCCGGCGGCGATTCCACATCGACGGAACAAGGGCAAGGCTACTGTGGTGGTGACGAGAGCAGGCGTGTCGTCGTCCTCGTCGTTGTTTGGTGACGGGAATGAGTTACACGAGTAACACCAGGCGTCCGGGCAAATGGGAGTCTTTCAGGCCGGACTTGGAGTCGGAGAAGACGGCGTCCCTGCCGGCGGCGGCGTTTCTCACGCCCACGTCGTCGACCTCGTCGTCGTCGTCGACGTCGACGACGACGACGACGACGTACACCAAGTCGCAGGTCGCAGTCCTCATCGTCCTCTTCACCTCCACTCTCTCGTCCGCCTTCGCCGTCTGCCTCTTCCCGCCCTTCTTCCCGCAAATCGTGAGTCCTCAACAATTCCATCCTTCCTAATGCTATCGTTTTTCTTTTTGTGGCTGGAAGAGAAAACAGAGGGCATGGAAAACTTTTTGATTGGACTGGGTTGACTCCATCTGGGGAATCATTTACACTTGCAAAACCCATTTCCCACCTCTCCCCACCCCTGGATTTCATTTGAGATTTGCGTGGGACATGACATTTTCTCTCTTGCAATATGCCTGATGTACCCTCATATAAAAGTTCATCATATTTATTCCTCTTCATTAAAAAAAAAACCTAACATAAATTGAACTAAATTAATCTAACCAACCTAACTAACCTAACCTAACTAACGTAACCTAACCTAACTAACGTAACCTAACCTAACTAACACAACCTAACCTAACTAACGCAAAATAACCTAACTAACATAACCTTACTAACATAACCTAACTAACATAACCTAACTAACATAACCTAACTAACATAACCTAACTAACATAACCTAACTAACGTAACCTAACTAATGTAACCTAACTAATGTAACCTAATTACAGTAATGTAACCTAACTAATGTAACTTAACTACAGTAATGTAACCAAACTAACCTTATGTAACACCAAATTTAACCTAACCTAAAAAGTAACCAAACCTAACACCTAACCTACACAAAAATATCCAAACCTAGCACCTAACCTACACAAAAATAACCTAACCTGCACAAAAATAACCTCAAAGAAACTAAAATCACCTGAAATATTATAAACATTACAAAATTTTCTATTGGGCATATTTTATCCCCCACCCTGGTTTAAGAAAGCAGTCCCCCAAACACAAGGAATGAAATGGTGAGAACCCCAAGGAGAGGAACCTCCAACTGCTGGGGAAACTGGTTTTCGGCCGCGCGTCACATCAAGAGTGTAAATGACTCCTCTACAACAACTAGACTCTACAACAAAACTAGAAGAAAACATATGAAGAAAACCCTGTAAATGGGGACGAAAAAATGTACACAGAACATTGTTGCGGAGAGTCCATCTGTACAGGGTTGACAAGAAAAATGAGTAGGAAATTGAGCTACATCAACCGAAAAGCACCGAATGAAATCTTTTTTTAATTTCTTTCCATTTATTTCTGGCTGTATGGCTCCAAATGTTGCGGCACCGCCGGGAAATTTTTTTTTTTCACGTTTTCGGACCATAAAACAACATTCCGGTGAATGGAAATTGGACAAGGTTTCATTTGGTGCTTTTCTTGGATTGCTGTACCTCACTTTGCTTCTGAGCTATATACAGAAAAATTTTGTTACAACAAACTCCCACGGACTTGATAAAAAATTCGTTGTAATGAAAATTTGGTTGCATTGAGATTGGCGATTTCTCGCACATGTTAGACTGAAATTTTGCAGGAAATGGGCAATAAACTTAAAGTGCTTCCAAAACAAATAATTCAATAAGTATTGCATATCATAAATATTGAGTATTCCTGATGAAATGGAAAAAAACTTGAATAAATACACATGTTTCCTTCTACTGAACCTGCCATTCTACTAAAAAGTGACATTTGTTTCAAAATATACAGTGAACATAAGTACAGTACAGGTAAGAGGAATGCCTTCTTCTGAATAAACTGTTTCATTCATGCAGGTTCTTGCATATAGAGGAACATTCTCTAAAATATGCTGTATATTTTGGGAAGAAAGGCATATAATCTGGAATGGAGCTACTGAATTTCTTAGAAATACATCATGTTTAGTATTTTTTGAACTGGAAGATTTCTTGGCATACATTTTTCCTTTTTGATAAAGTTAGAATGCTGCACCTTTGATTTTTTTTTTGTCATACATATTGAAAAAAAACCTTATTGTATTAATAAAGAATGATGGAAAAAAGTTGTTATATAATGAGATTAAGGCCTAAAATTTGTTTGTTGTAATGAGATTGTTATAACATTAGGCCTATGGGAAACTGCCGGGATCAGTAAAAAATCGTTATAATGCAAAATTCGTTATAACGAGATTCATTGTAACGGAATTCTACTGGACTGTGAGACAAAAATGTGGTTCACTTTTTTTGATCCACCCTGTACTGTATATGGTCTCACATCAAGACTTCTGGCATTGCTTCCTTCTTATCTGTGCTCCTGGATACACCCGAAATAGAAATTGAAATTCTATGCACGAGATGATAGTCCAATGGCTGATTGACGAATCTCTTTTCAATCTTTTCTCTGAAATTGTGAAAACTGCTTGTCTCATTTATGCCAAAGGCTGTGCATGGCCATGCAAGTAATCCTATTGTTGTTGGTGATGGCCTTGACTACAACCTTTGAAGAGTCAATTTTATTTTTATTTTTTACCACGAGTTACTTCCCCTTGAAAGATTCATAACCTTATATTCTCGCTGTCCCTTATCGAAAGCCCTGTGTGCAAAATTTGAACTTTCCTATTAATGTAAAAAAAATCAGACAAAATCTGATTTTTTCTTTCATTTTGCGAGTAGAGCTGTAATTGCGTGACTTAGGAGGACAGTGGCAAAAACATGCATGGTCAGTTCGCAACACAGAAGTATAGAAGAGCAAGGAAGTATTTGACAGGAAATGAATTGAATCATGATGGAATGAGCCACGTGTACAGTTTAAATGAAAAGAATGAAATTCATTGGATGATTGTGTCCAGAGCCAGTACCTTTGAATTTTGGTGCAAGGATGAATTCATCCATCATCCTCTTAACACAGCAGTTTGTGACCAAAAGGTGGCCAGATGAATAAGTGAGGAGCTTTCTCTTGGAAACACAAGATTTCTATCCAAATACAGTCAAACCTCTCTAAGTCAAATTTCAAGGGACCTGCAAAAAATTTTGAGTTAGGGAGGTTTTGACTCAGGGAGGTAAGGAATTTTACAGTTTGGAACTGCAGTACAAAACCTTTTTTTTCTGGAAAACTTGGAAAAAATGTAAATGGAGATATTTTAAAGCTTAAATGGCTTCTTACGTGATTTGAAAGGCTGCTGAACTTGGAGGCAGGGGTTCATTTGCCCAATTAAGTCTTTCACTTCCTCTAAAACACATGAGTTTCTGTTTTTATTGCTTTTTTCTTTGTTTTTTTCAAGAAAATAATGGCCAACAGGCCACAGAAAATTTGATTTGAGGGGAAAAGCCTTCAACTAGAGGAGGTTTTTTATGTATTGTTTCTAAGGGAATTCAGAGGGGATCTGAAAAAAAATTGACTTGGGGGTGTATTTGACTTGGGGAGGTTTGAGTTATTGAGGTTCACCTGTATTCTGGTTACCAGGATTTATTTTTTGAGTGCTCTACAGTCAACATTATGCTTGTTTCATGCACAAGCATGGATAATTTTTTTTTCTGTGTATACAGAATTTCTGAATGGTGTATTGTTGTGGTGGGATACATTCATTAAGAACCGACGTAATTTTGTGGCAACAATTTCGTTCATCTTGAGATTTGATGCCTATAGTTTCGTTTACTTGCCATTCCCAGCTTGAAAAGCTCCTTCAATACACATGTTCAACGTTTTATGTTATTTTTCCATCTTGGATTGCCCCATTCTCCGCTGTGTTTTATTGTCTTGCAGCCTGCATGTGTCTGTCTTGTACAATTAATGTCTTCAGAAACGTTTGTTTCCATTTCTTGGAATTTGAAAAAGTATTGTACACTACTACTACTGTACACCCCCAAATAAGATGTTCACCTTGAATTTTGTGTTCTGCTTTGTTTAGGGATTTGTATGAAAAGGCCAAGCACCCACGTTTTTGAGGGCCAGAAATTTAAATCTTCCCACTCTTCCCAGTAAATGCCAATTTAATTTATTATTGATGGTGTTGTGGACGATTTTCAAAAAGAAAACGTAGTCTTATTTCCCTTATATACTAAATCAACTCCTGTATGACTGGCACTCGTTTCACCATCTTAATTATTTATTTCTTTTTACCTTGAAGCACTGCACGCGTCTCTTGTTCTTTCAAAATCTGTAAACCTTTTTACCAGGCTCATCCCACTTTTCTGCCTAAAAATTGAAGATGTTCTGTATAAGCATGGTGAATGCATACTGTATAGGATTCACCTGTGGTAAGTTAGTCACATAAAGGATTATTTGGTGAATGGATGGTGCAGCTTTGGCAAGAGAAGCTCTATGTGTATATACAAAGGTTCTAACAAAAGTTCTTGGAGTAGCAATGAAAATGGCCTACAGTTGACCTGAACCACATTTTTTCTTTAGGGAAAACATATTCTTTGGCACATAAAAAAATATTAGCCCTGTTTGTCAAATTTTTTGGAATTTTTTTCATAATTCACCCTGGTAGAGTTTTACTCTCCACTCAAAAGACAAGTTGCCTTTTTTTTGTTGCAGCCCAGCTATCCCCTCAGAATTTTTGAAATCAACTTGACATTCTTTCTAAGGGTTGCCTCCAGGTCATCCAAGGCAATTCCGGCATTTTCATTGACATCCGCCTTCACAGCCTGGTGGCAACCCTTGGAAAGAATGTCAAGTTGATTTGAAAAAATTCTGAGGGGAAAGTTGGGCTACAACAAAAAAGGGCGCCTCATCTTTCAAGTGGAGAGCAAAACTCTGCCAGGGTGAATTATGAGAAAAAATGCAAAAAATTTTGCCCAACAGGGCTGACATTTTTTATGTGGCAAAGAATATGTTTTTCCTAAAGAAAAAATTTGTTTCAGGTCAACTGTAGGCCATTTTCATTGCTACTCCAAGAAGTTCTTTTAGAACCCTTCCACAGTGCTGTGAGACCCCCACATGCAGACACCTTGACATAGGGACAATTCAACATAGGGACAATTCAAGATAGGTACATTTATTTTTCAATTGAAAAATCATTCTAAAATGGCCCAACATACATACATCTGACCCAACTTGAGGACATTGCTTGATAAAATTGCTGTTAAATTTTAGGAAAATTGACCTTTATTGGGCTTAATTGCAAGAAGCAGATATTTCCAGCCCTAAGATCTAAGCGAGTAAAATCCTTATGTACTTTTCCCATCCATTCAACTAATATAAAAAATTACCTGTAGCCTGGAGGGACTACCTTCTTTCTTTGTGACTTGGATGTTATTTTTACACATGCCAACATTTCAATGAACTGTACAGAGGTTTACTATTCAATGCTCCAAATGTTCTTACTGTGTTGAAAAGATATTCACTGAATCAAATGCAAGTGGCAAAAAGGATTGTTTCTCATGGAATTCTGATGAATATTTCTTCCATAGAACACCAATTGAAAATTATATCATGTAAGTCTATGGGAAAACAAGACTAGACTCAGGGACAATTCAACGTAGGGACACTCTTGATGTGCCAGTTATGTCCGCATCTGGGGGTCTCGCTGTACAAGTAGTACAGCCATTCTGATTGTTTGAAACGGATATCGATTGATTGATGATGATGATGATGATGATGAGTGTGCCGCTGTTGAATTCTTCAACTTCACAGGCGGAGTCGAAAGGAGCCCCGGTGTCGGTTTACGGCTTCATCATTGGTACCAACTGCTTGACTTCGTTCTTCGTAACCCCGATTTTCGGAAAACACGTGAGTACCGTGAATTACTGAAGTAGATTCAGGACCGGACTCGTGATGGTGCCAAGTACGAATTTGTCACCGAAACGGCTGTCGGACCTCATCGTCGTTTCGAGTGAACGCGTCCTCCCATCAACTCCGTGATATTCTCCCTTTTTTCCTGTTTATTTGAAAATGGCAAGTTGAACAAGATCGGGCTCAGATTTGCATTCGTCGCGGGACTTTTCATGAGCGGAGGTTGCTGCTTTTTATCGGGGTAAGTCGGAGAGATATCAGAGTAATTTACTGTACCTGCAGTGCATGCATTAAAATGTTGTTGCACCGAACTCCCCCAGCAGGAAAATATTGGTCACTTGAAAAAAGTAGAAATTTTGTGGCGAGAAAGGTGCAATACAATAGTAATTGATTCAAGGTACAGTATTTGCACAACAGATTTGTGAAGATTTTTTCCCCGCACTCCCCCAACTTCTTTTTGTGAATTAATAGAGAAATTTCAAGATGTGAAACACGATTCTTTGTTCAGACCTCGTTCCCTTTCTTGGATTTTCTAAAATTATGCAATCTTACTGACCTAGCAAAAGTGTAAGCTCCAACAAACAGAAAATAATGCGTAAAAGCTACCATTTATTTGTCAAGAACTTGGAGGTTCCGTGAAACAAAGCAGTATCCTTCATCCAAACCTACTCTTATCGAAAAAGGTTCGCCATTCTAAAATCTCCAATAAAGCTAATAAAAATTTGATTATAGCTTCAAACTTCTTTTCATGCAACATTTTCTGTAAAAAGAAAATATTAGTGATTATACCGTATTTACTTGAGTACCACCCGCACCTTTTTTCTCAAATTTCAGAAGAAAAAAGGGGTGGGCATCATAAGTGGGTACACATTTTTCAAGAAGTTATTGGAAGTTATGCTTGCATCATACTTGATTATAATGAAGAAATTTGGAAAAAATGTAACAAGAAAACTTGTTAGTACTGAAAAAGTTGAAAATTGATCAGATTTTTGTTCAATTCATGTCTAAAGTTGATTTTTCTGAAATTTTTTGGTTTTTGATTCACTAAAAATTGGGGTGTGCGACATACTCCGGGATAAGATTTTAGCCAAATTTCCAACTGAAAAACCCCTGTGCATGCCTTATATACACAAGGGTGCGTGGTACTCAAGCAAATACGGTATATACTTGGGATGGTTTTCAATCATTCACAAGTGCAGTATTTTCCCATATTTTGTGGATTTATTGAAAATGTATCTGGCCCATGCGCACAGAATTGATATGGTGAGATTATAAATGAAAATCAGTTTGTTGCAACAATAAATCTCAAAACATTATCCATGAAGAAACTGCCGGGGCCAAGAGAAACATTCATGATGAGCAGTATTTTCGTGACTGGGATTCAAAAGGCTGAATTCCACGGGAAATCAGTGTAAAAAGCCTGTCGAAAAACTCACTCCTTTTCTCCGGTGCCTTCGTTTTCATCTCCAGGTTTTCAAAGTTGATCTAATCTTTATAACACTCGCATTGTAACTGGAACTTGCGCTACAGCGGAAACCCGCCTGAGGCGACAGCTCAAAATTTTATTATTACTTTATTTATTACAAAATTGCAGGACAGGGAAGTGCGTATGTCGTTTCGCTACATGCTCTTTATTTGTCTAACGTCAATTGTTTTTGTGTGTGTGTGTGTGTGTGTTCATTTTTCAATTTTATGAAATGACATGTGCAATGGATTCTTCTGCTCAACATGTCGTACTGTTGCTTTGTAGCAATTTTTCACCAAATCAAGAAGTTACTCCTATCTTCCAACCGTATTCCATCATATTTCTTCGAAACGCGAAATCTGAAATTTCTTCGAGTGTAAGACTTCAGACAGTAAATGCAATATTTTTTAATCATTGAAAAAGAAAAGCATTTAGATTGTCCCTCATGTCAGTACAGTACTTTTGAGTGTCCTGGATCAGGTCTTGAATTTATTCCCAGGATAGACATTGGCATTGAGTGGCATATATGAAGCTGTGAAATAAATATTTCCCCATTATTCTATGGAAGTGAAACAGCAAGCTTGATTAAATTATCAAGACCGTTGTTTCAAAGAAGTAATGAATGGAAACTAAAGTAAATTTAAAATAAAGTGCGATTGATGCTGGGAGAAAAGAGAATCCAGGCTGCACAAATTCAGCCATATTCCTGTGCTGCAATTTCATAAAAATAACTCTGTGGGAATTCTCGGGGATTACCCGGCCTTTTATCGAAATTGAAAAGGTTTTTACGTAATCCGGCTTTGAAGCATTATTCTGAGTTTTTCTCGTCCTTCTAGCCTCTTGAGAATCGAAGCGGAAATCCTCCGTATACAGTATAGTGATGAGAAAAAAGGATGTAAGGTAATAGACCTGTTTTTCTGAGCGAATAAAATAACGTGGTCGTTCACAATGAGGGTGAGTCGTTTGAAACTGGACAGAACCCTTTTGCAACGTGTAGTTTTGGCGTCAAGCGAAGAGAGAAAGAGAGAGAAAATTGACTTGATTGGACCCAGGGCTGAATAAAAAGGGCCATTTTCGTGATGAGAAAAGGGTGGAACGAAATTGAGCCGAGTGCGTGTGTGTCTTTTCTTTTGTGGTAACTTTTCAAGGTTTTTGGAATTTTTCCCCCCGGGACTTGAGTTTGTATTGGAATCGATTGCAATTCGAATTGTTCACGCTTCAGCGAACGCGTTGGTGATCGTGAGTACCTTTGCTTACGGGGCCACGGAGTTCCCGCAGAGCGTCGCCAGCATTTTCGTGAGTATCCGTCATCTTCTTGTCTCGTCGTTCTTTTTCTTTTTTTCTTTTTTTTTTTGGTCCTCCCTTTCCAGTGCAGCACAGTACAGTACTCTTCAGTACTGTGCATGCAGTGCTTGGGACATTTTTTTTCAATTGATGAGTAATTCGCGAGAATGGCCTGAAAGCTCGCATGAGTCGTGTGGAGGAATGAATATACTGTACTTACATGCGGTATTATGCTGCTGGAGTCTTTTTTTTTACCTTGAACGAAATTCAATAAGGGACCAGGAAAATTCGTTGTAGAGAACTCTAATTACATTGGGAGAGAATCCTATGAGGCTAAACAAAATTATTTATGCAGACAAAATTGTTGTAGACAAGATTGTTATGGCTCTGAGATTGCAGAATCTATAATCTACAAGTAAAAAACTTCTCATATCAATCTCAGTGCTACTGTGAATTTGATTTGAATGCTTCCACCTCATTTGAGTACAGTAGTATACATTGGCATCAAATATGAGGGTATGTCTCACTATAAGGTGCATATACAGTACTGTACTCTACTATAGTGGAATATTTCTGATGCTGAAAATTGTAAAAAATAAAATTATGGCAAATACTGTACTCTATTTAATGCCACGCGCCCTGGAAAACAGAAGCAGCTGAATATTTCAGCCCAAAATTTTGCACAGCAACCTATCTTCCAGTAACACATGCACCCCATTTTTATAGAAATTTTAAACATTGAAAAAATAGATATGGGCATATAAAATGTGACTTGAATTCTAGTAAACTGAGTATTTATTTCCCATTGCTTCCATTTTTAAAAGTCTCTGTTGAAATTTCTTTTTTTTTTCAATCCCTGTTGTCAACCCTTGATATTGTGCCCACTGATTTACTGGTAATATTGCCAGAAATGTCCCTGGAACAGATATCCCTCCACTTTGTTTAAAAAGGAAACCCCAATTTAGTACCAACTCACTTATTGCCATGAAAAAGTTGCTGTCCTGAATGAAGAATAGGCCAAAATTAGATAATATAAGGCATATTTCTAGGGATATCATTACAGATTATTACTGAGAATCACATGATCTTGCTTAGGATGATTCAAAAAATTGTTATTTCTGAATTCACGTCACATACAACTCCGTTGCTTAATTTAAATGTCCTCCATTGGAAAGAGCATCACAAAAACTGGAATAGTCTCTTTGAAAAATTAAATTCACTAAACCTGATATTGGAATTGTGTGCTTTCCTCAGAAGGTTGTTGAAAAACTGCTGAAACAGTTCCACTGTTTTACTTGGACAAGTATGTGTAAAAGTCTGATGTATTCCGTACTAAACATAAATTCCAATATGCAGTAAAAGCAGTTCACTGGAGCCTCAAATTATTGTATGTGCTGCCTTTTGCTTCTATAAAACATACTCATGGCCTAAAAATTCTGCAAAAAGCCTGTTTTGCCCATATTAGAATCCCTCAAATGAATTTTCTTCTGATGCAATACCCCAAATTTAGTGCCAGCCTTGCTTAGTGACACAAAATGTGCCTGGACAAATGATGGCACTATATCAGGGTTTGGCTGTACAGGTGGTATCTTGCAATTCAACCTCTTGCAATTGAATCATCCCACGATTGGATGGTCAAATTTGCTTGGAGGTCAACTTGCAATTCAACCTCAACCTGTTTAAGACTTTTTTCCAGTGTTTTTGTGCTGTTTCCTTTTAATTTCATAAACCATTTTGCAATTTGGCCCTAGTCCAGAACTCCAGATATGGGTCAAATTGTGTGACACCAACTATACTGTATATGACATGGTCCATATCTTTAATATATGCGCCCTTGTATTTCCTCTTAACCCTTCTGCTGCAAAGTTGGACTTTTTTGCAGATTTTGGTTGCAATCAAGAGTGGAGTTAAACCCCCCCCCCCCCCCAACAGTGTGTTAAGGGCAAAGTTGGGAAAAATCCTGGAATTTTTTTTATTTTCCACAGAAAATTTACACCTGAAAATTTAAAAAATGAAAACTTCAAGGTTTCCTTTTTTCCTCAGCCTTGTGTTGTTTCCCCATTCAAAGATTGAAGTTAAACCTGAAAGCCAGGAGCCCAGGTTAGAGGTCAATACCAAAAGAGTCCCACTCAGGACTTTCCCAGCATTTCTTTATCCCTGTTTAGAATCCGACTTTGTCCTCCTCCACCTGGCAGGGGTTGCTTAACCTTGTGCAAAAATATGATGCAGGCCCATGGGGGAAAAAGTCTGACTTTGCCCTGGGATGGAAAGGAGGCTGCCCCTGTCCAAGGGTTAATGTAAAAGAAGGTACTAAAATACTTCTGGGTGATATCAGCTTTTTCCTGTAACTGCCATGAACTGTGCATTTGTGGGTGCCAAGTCAGATATACTATACTATAGCTATAGGTGACGCCTGATGTATGTACAGAGTGTGGAGTCACGCATCATTCAAGCTCCCTAATGATCCCCCGGGCCTCTTTCCAGAGCAGTTGTTGAGATCCCTGCTTCTTGCAATGCATCCTAAAATCAGTCAAGTTTTCTGTTAATCATTGACTTCATCCCCTTGCCTTTAATTTGGGATTTTGTGCATTCAGATGAAGTGACATAACTTCAATATAGTCGTGCCGGGCTTCAGCATCTGTGATCTTCTCTATTCATGGCAGTGCATAGAAATTTTTGGTAATTTCCTGTTATCTCAGTACCTCATTCCTGTTATCTCAGTACCTCATTCCTGTTAACTCTGTACCTTCCCTCTAACCAATTCAACCTGATCTAACCTAACTTTACCTAACCGCCTCCCAAAAGCAGTTTCTGCTTTCTTTGGGCTTCTGCTGAAACTGATTTTGGGAGGCGGTTAGGTAAAGTTAGGTTAATGTGGAAAAATAAAATTCACAGTTTCTGGTAGGTTGTTGTGATTATGAACTTGTCCTGAAGATTTGTCTGGATGGTAGTGCGGTCTATGAATGAGGTACTGAAAGTACCCAATTTTTTAATGGAAGAGCATCACACTAAGTGACCCTCGGGAAAAGTTTTGCTTTTTTCATTTGTTGAAAGAAAACTGTTGGACGAAAACGCTCGAAAATTGTATTGTAAACAAAATACGTGTAGTCATCGGGCTGTGAAATGAGAGGAAAACTTTAGCCATGACCGGAAGTTGCCCCCCCCCCCCCCCGTTCTCATTATCACGCAGTTTCTTGGAAACAATTTGTTGATGCAGAAAATACCCATTGCCGACAACATGAAAGGAAAAATCAATTTTGAGGATTCACATCATTAATAACGTTCAACCTCGTTCCTGGGGCTTGGACAATTAGCTCCTTGTTATCGCCTGAAGAGACTGCATAGTGTTTTTGCAATTTGGGATAAGATTTTTTTCAAAAATTGAACGTAGAGAGTACAGTATCTTGTTCAATCATGCTCGAGAATTCACGGAACTGGACGAAGGCACTTGCTCGTCTCAAAGTTTCTTCTCCCGTGTGTTCAAAAATATTCAAAGCAGATGTGTCTGTAGTTCTGTATGTTTCTAACAATCATTTGGCATCAGTTTTATTTTCAAATTCCCAAAGTAATTGCGAGCACGTTTCACAGTAGAGCTGCGAGAATATAGAAATACATGCCGTATTTCCTACTGTACTTTGCGCCCTGAAGTTAAACGCGCTCCACGGTTTTTTTTTTTGTAAAAAAATTTGATAAAATGGTACCCCCATGTAAGACGCTCACCCCACTTATAGTGACTATACAAAGCTGCAGTATTTTGAAGATATAAGAGCACCCACATTCGGAATTGAAAATGAAATTAACCTAAATCCAAATAATTTCCACGAAAATAAGCTTATTCTGATTTTTGTTTTTAGATGGGTCCCAAATTTGCCACCATAATATAGTACAGTATAATGCACACCTACTCTTGCAAAGCTTTTTGAAACCTGCCCATATATGGTGCACACCCCCTTTTCCCCCCTAATTTGAAAGCAAGATGAATTTGGTATACTGATGTACTCACCCAAGTGGGGAGCTATTCTTTGTGTGACCACACAAATGGTGCACAGTGGGGTCACAATTGGTGTAAATGGGCTATTCTGGGGTTACAAGCATGCACCTCTGTAGACAAAATTTTGCTACCATTCCTGGGCTACACTTGGTGCACAAATGTGACACTAACAGGCGGGTATCACACAAATGCACCAACTATAACCGTGGTGTAACTTATTTGTTTACAAATGTGACCCTTAGTAATCCTGGTGTGAACACACAATTGGTGCACATTGAGGATATGCATGTGCAACAGAAGAACTTCGGTACACTTCAGGTGCACAGCAGGGTCACTGTGTAGAATTACAAACATATCCCCAGTGTGCACCAATGTCCCCACTCAGGAGCAGTGAAATATGGTAACTCATAGAACACTGTGTCCAGTCAATGATTTGGTCATTATATAACGCATCAATTCAAGGACCAACACTATAATTAAAGTAAAAAGAGAAGGAAATCAAGCAAGACACAAAGAACATGTGAAGTTCAAGTTCCTATTCCTGTAAGCAGGTTGTATTGTAATACTTGCAAGTTTGTCATATGTCTTTATGGAAATATTTTAGAACCCTTCTTGAACTCGAGCTACCCAATTCTCCTTTTTTCCAATATCAGCTGCCTTGTATATAGGTTCTCTACGTAAATTTTCCAGTCAAGTTTTGTTTCGGAGGACTTTGTGGCAGGTATTTCGAAGATTTCCGGTGGTCTGTAAATATTGTATGGAACTTTGCTGGTGGTCCACAAACAATATGTTGTGGACCTTCGCGGACATGAGATGAGAATTGCAGGATGCGTCATTTTCTTGAAATCACGTGTGTATTTCTGCAGTCCGTGACCAGGGCCATGATGAATGTGGGCCAATTGCTGGGGCCGGTGGTTGGTGGAGCCCTGTACGAAGCTGGGGGATTCAAGATGCCATTTCTAGTCATGGGCGTTGTGCAGATGTGCATGGCTCTCCCTGCCCGACTCCTTCTACCTAACTATGAAGGTACAGTGCTGTACTGTACTGTACTGTACTTTACTTTTACTGAGCCTGGCTCTTGTTGTTGGACTGATTAACTTTGTATTTATCGCTTTTTTTTTCGCAGAGGACGGCGAGGACGAGAAGGAGCCAACGAGTATTTTCTCCATTTTATCAATCCCGACGATTTGGATCGCGCTTTGCAACATAATCTCTTCGACTATGTCCAACGGTTTCCTTTCCATCATGCTGGAGCCTCAGATTTTGCGCCAGGTGAGACTGCTGCTGTGCAGTACAGTAGACAGTACCTTACTTGATGATGATGATGATGATGAGTGTTTCATTCCTTTATTGCCGCCCGCAGTTTAACTTGTCGCCGTTCTACGTGGGTCTGGTGTTCGGGCTGAAGGACGGGGCCAATGCCCTGTTTTCCCCCATTTGGGGCTACGTGTGCGACAAGGCGCCCAGGCACAACAAGCTGGTGATCTTTCTGGCTGCTGGGCTCGGAGCAGCTTCCTTCGCCTTCCTGGGTCCGGTTCCCGGGATCCCCATTAAAGAGTGAGTATCTCTTCTTGCTTGCTTGTGGATCCTGTGCTGGAAAAGAGAAAGACGAGTGCAGTCACTTTGTATATATATATATATATTAAAGTATATTATAGCAGCAGTTCCCATCTGCTGATGCATTTACGCTGAGTGCAGGTGGGGTGTGCAGCATACTGCATGATATGCATGGGTCCTGTCCCTAAGATCTTGCATTTCCTCGCCAAACTGAATCACCGCCTGATGGGCCCCGCCAAAATATGCACGTGCAGTTATTTCTCAGGCTGCTGTTGTGTTGGCATACATGCTACTAGACTAACTAAAGCATGATTTTATGGCATACAGTGAGGCCCCAATGAAGATGCGGACACAATTGGTGATGCATCAAGAGTGTTCATCTAGGATTAAATGTCCCCAAGTCCAGTCTCATTTTCCCTTTGACTTACATTATATAATTTTTAATTGGTGTTTCATGGACAAAATGCTCACCATAATTCCATGAAAATAAAAATTACCTCCCAATTGAAACTGATTCATTCCATGCATTTCAACGCAATATGGACATTTTGGGAATTGAATACTGCTAACTCTGTACAGTACACAGAAATGTTGGCATTCTCTGTAAAAAAAAACATTCAAGTGAAAAATACAGAAGGAACTCCCTCTATGCTGGAGGTAATTTTTTTTATTATCTAAATGGTTGGTAAATTGGTGGGAGAAATAATGCCGAAGAACTTTTCTTACACCAATTTTTGGGTTGGAAATGTCTGTTTCTTGTCATTTGGCCTGAAACTTATTTGCAATTTTATCTGAAAATGTCCTCATGTTGGGCCTTATTTTTTTATGGGAAAATGAGTGTCCCTATGTTGAATTGTCCTCATGACAAGGTGTCCAAATGTGAGGGTCTCGCTGTATATAAATTGAAATGACATAAGATAGAGCTATGAAAAACCTATTATTGTTCAGAAGAAAAATAAGCATTCGTTTTCATCAGGAAAAAGTCAGCAACGTTTGACATATTTTTCAGAAAATGTTATCAGAAGTTACCCTGCTGTGGCAGCTTTCTGCTCTTCACTCAAAAGCTGAGGCGCCCATCTCGCAAATTTTTTGGTTTTGCCCAAATATCCCTTTATGAAATTCTTGAAATCGGTGTGGCGTTAATGCCAAGAAATGACGCCATTTATTATCGATCGTCAATTCCGCCATTTTCATGAAAATCTCCCTTCACACAAACACCTCTTGTTATGATGAGCATTTGGCGGCTGTTGATAAAATGGCTGAATGACATTGGAAGACATGGGAGTCTTCCGTCTTTTGAGTGATGAGCAGTTTCCAGGTTGACCTTTATTGTGCAAGAAATTCAAAAAATGGGTCAAGCACGGCTGCATTTTCTTCTTCTTGCTCCGAATGTTTTTCTCAAGAATATTTTTTCATCAGCTCAATCATGCGTCATTTCAATTTATATCCCGACAACTTTTGTTAAACCCCTCTCGTGTGCTAGGATCACACTTTACCATTGAGTTAAATTATGAGAAATTGCATATTTGGCACACAAAAATTAAAAGAAGTCCTTTGTATAGAATGCGATGAAAAGTGTTTAGTTCATCTTTAAAGCACGACAAACAATAACGCTGCAGAACACGAAAACCACGCAGAATCTGCATTTTCATAGCATTCAAAGAGGTTTAGGAAATGAAACGCACGGATCACACACACTATGCTGTACTGCATACAAACAATTGATGTGGGGGATCAGCACAAAGTTAATCTGTGTATATTGATAACCTGGAAGAAGCAGCACAAAATCAGTCTGTTTTGGAAAATAAATTACATGTATTTTTTTTTATAACACAGTAATATTTGTTAGGATTCATGCCCGCTTTGTTCAAGAGATATCAACGATTTTAAATCCGATTGCTGAAATTTCCAGAAGAATGGTGTCCATAAGATATTTTATTTTGAGGCATCGTCCAGATTCTGGGGCGGTCAGGGGGATTAGTTTTTAGTCTTGCGTCCATAAGTCAAATTGTACACATGTTGTTTATCTGTTGGTAATGTCGCATACCCCGGCATTCATCACGTAAGCAACACTTATAAGGCGTTCATGATGGAAAAACTGTGCGCAATACTATAACGGGTCAAAGGAATGTCCCTGCATCATCAATGTATGACGTCCAATAAGTGGAAACGTGAGGAGTCGAAGCAGCATTTACGAGGGTTCTAACAAAAGTTCTCGGAATGGAAATTCAAATGGCGTCTGTAATCGAGCTTAAAAAAAATTTATTCTGTAGGGAAAACATATTCTTTGGCACACACAAAAAAATCAGCCCTGTTTGACCATTTTTTTTTATGTTTTGCAAAATTCACCCTGGCAGAGTTTTGCGATCCACTCAGAAGATGAGGCGCCTGTCCTGCAGATTTTTTTTTTAGCCTAGCTTTTCTTTCAGAATTCTTGAAATCAACGTGGAATTAATTCCAAGGGTTGCCTCCAGGTCTTCCGAGGTAATTTCGCCATTTTCATCAACAGCCCCCTTCACAGCCGCCAAAGTGGCGGCCAATATGGCGGCTGTTGATTGAAATGGCGAAATTACCTTGGAAGACCTGGAGGACACCCTTGGAATTGATGTCACATTTATTTCAAGAATTGTGAGGGGAAAGCTGGGTTACAACAAAAAAAGGGCGCCTCATCTTTTGAGTGGAGAGTATTACCTTGGAAGACCTGGAGGACACCCTTGGAATTGATGTCACATTTATTTCAAGAATGGTGAGGGGAAAGCTGGGTTACAACAAAAAAAGGGCGCCTCATCTTTTGAGTGGAGAGCAAAACTCTGCCAGGGTGAATTTTGCAAACCATTCAAAAAATTTGTCAAACAGGGCTGATTTTTTTTGTGTGCCAAAGAATATGTTTTCCCTAAAGAATAATTTCTTTTCAGCTCGATTAGACGCTTTTTTCTTTTCCATTCCGAAAACTTTTGCTAGAACCCTCGTATGTACAGTATGATTAAATTGTTGCATTCCTGGACGTTATTTTTACAAGAAAAAGGGCGATTATACTGTGCAAAAATGATCATTCGTGCTCTTTGATCACAACATGCGGAAAAATGCGTCTGGTGCTCGACTTTGAGAAGTTTGCAGGAATAACAGCAATTGGAGAAGGAGGCGTTTTTATATAATCAGCACCAGATCGAATATCGCTTGCGGCGGTTTTCTGTAGCCGTACATTCGGACATGTACATGTACATTTTCGACTGTATAACTTGATTTATTACTGCTATGATGGTTTTACATAATGGTAGGTCGTCTATATACTCTATATGTCAGCAGTATATTTACGCCTGGGTTTGAAGGGGTGAGTGAGCCTGACCGAAATAAAATCGCAGGGTTGTGCAGCAGTATATGCATCAGGGAACCACTATTTGAGCACAGCTTTGGTCATGATCAGCAAGTGCAGTACTGTATGATGAACTCGATGAAAAAATATTTACTCGTCCACTTCCTACTTGGTTACTACAGGACTCTGACTGTGGCGATTGTGGCTTTGTCCCTGAATGGAATCGCCATCAGTGGCCAGCAGGTGGCTGGCATGGCGGATGCAACCTATGAAGCAACGTGAGTTTCTTCTGTACATACAGTGTCCACCCCCGCATNTGTCCCTAAGTCAAAATGTCCCTAAGTCGAGTCTTGTTTTCCCATAGACTTATACATCATATAATTTTTAATTGGTGGTTTGGGGAAGAAATATTCTTGAGAATTCCCTTGAAAAATTGTTTGCCAAATTTAAATTAGTGAATACATTTTCAACTCAATAAGAACATTTGGAGCTTTGAATAGTGTATCTCTGTACTGTACACTGAAATTTTGGCATCTACAAAAATAACATCCAAGGGAAGAAAGTAGAAGTCCCTCTATGCTGAAGGTAATTTTTTTTTAAATAGCTAAATAGATTTTAAATTGGTGAGAGAAATGCCCAAAAAAAATTTTTTGCATCAATTTTAGGGTTGGAAATATCTGTTTCTTGTAATTTGGCCTGAAATGTATTTGCAATTTTATCATATAATGTCCCTATGTCAAGTCGGTGTCCTCATGTTGGGCCTTATTTTTTTATTTTTTTCTGGGAAAATAAGTGTCCCTATGTCAAATTGTCTGCAGGTCAAGGCATCTGCATGTGGGGGTCTCACTGTATAAAAAAATGTTCCACAGATTAGCTAACTTCTCACAGAAGTACATTGACAAAATTTCTCCAAAGCTCATCAAATCTTTTTTAGATGTCTGGAGAGGTGTTGTAAAGGGAATATGGTATGCTGTAATACAGTATTGCTTATATCTTTACCAAACAGTTGAATTTTGTCTTGGGATTTATGTGGCATTGTGTCTAAAAGGTTTTGGCTCATCAGGATCATTTTGAAATGATTTGTTTCATGGCACTGGAGGTTCCTGATTTGTGGAATAGAAGATGACTGCATATATACAGATGAACCAATATATATGCAGTCCACTTATGCCGTATATAAAAAAAATGCATATACTGTACTGCCAATTATTTATAGGCTGATATTGATAAATGATGATGAGCATCATTGCCGACTCCTGATGGGTTCCCATCGTCATTTTTCAGGACTGCGGGTCACGTGGACCCTCACGGGATCGTGTCGGGAGTGTGGAGTTCCATGTGTGGAGGCGGCAGGTTCATTTCCAGATGTTTTGCTGGCCTGGTGGTCGAGTCCATCGGGTTCCGGGAAGCGACTTGCATCATTGTGCTGCTCCAGGTCACTGTGGTGAGTGACTTTGCATTAACGTGTGATGCATATACAGTACTGTACAGAAACACACGCAAAACTGGAATGTTTTTTTTTCATGAATGCTGGCTGTAATACAGTCCGGTACAGTACAGTGCGGTATAATAATGTACTGTACGGTGCTGTACATCAGCGTGCTAAGATATGCTCTATAGTGCAGTGTTCCCCAACCCCTTTAGGCTGCATCATGTCTCAATAAGAAAGTAGCAATGAAGTGTGTTATTTTAACACGTTTTTATTAACTCGCTTTCTTGTCCGTTTTTTTAAGGTTATTTTTTCCTTTTTCAAAACGTGGTTTTTTAGATTAATTTTTCAATCTACTAAATTTTTTTTCTGAAATGTTGCACAGACGATGACGGAAGTGGAAATTACCTGATGAAAAATCAAACTTGGATTTCCTCATCCTAGTACATGTATAACCCTTGAGATAAATTTTAATCTTGGGAAATGAATGCATTTACTTTTCTTCTATTCTGAGAAACCTTTTTTCAAGCTCACCTTTCAAATTGTCTGAAGGTATTCCATTATACAGTAGAATCTCATTACGACAAATCTCATGACAAACTTTTGCCTACAACAATTTTTTTCAAGTTCTGGCAGTTATCCTTAAGGTGTAGTTTGAATTAATCTCGTTTTAACGAATTGACTGTGTAACAGCTCTCCGGTTACAATGAATTTTTGTCCCCAATTTTTAAAAATGTCCCAAAATGTTTCCAATTTTGGTTCTGATTTTTGAATTTTTCTTTCCTGAATGTTTGTACAATGCCCTGTTGCCTGGGGCTCATCAGTATATGGTGGACAGGATATGTCTTTCCCTCAGATTTATAAAAACAGGCAGCTAAAAATTGGTTACATTAATGTACAGCAGGAAGCTCATGAAATAAATGTACCCTGATTAATTTATCTATTGTCTAAGGAGTCTGGGAGCATAGCGAAACCTTGGAGCTGAGCCTCCAAGAGCCACCAAAATCTATGAATTTCATTCTAATGCTCTTTTGTGTGGAGTTTTATTTTAAAATCTAGAATTTGTTGACAATTTTTAATTATTTTAATGAAATGATCATGTTTCCAAGTTCCAAAAGCATTTGAGAGAAGTCTTGGTGAATTCTGTGGCAAAAATACTATGCAAAAATTGCCCAGAGTAAAATCACTGACTATTTAAAGCAGTAAAATGCTTGTTCACATGTTAAAGTGTTGTTTCTGCAAATCAGTAGTACATAAATCTTGATATAACGAATTTTTTCTGGTCTGTGGGAGTTTGTTGTAATGAGATTCTNCACATGGAGATTGTTGGGAAGAAGTGAAATACAAATGAAATAGATGCGCACCTTAAACGTGGTGCACATGGAGATTGTTGGGAAGAAGTGAAATACAAATGAAATAGATGCGCACCATGTTTAAGGTTATTTTTTCCTTTTTCAAAATGTGGTTTTTTAGATTAATTTTTCAATCTACTAAATTTTTTTCTGAAATGTTGCACAGACGATGACGGAAGTGGAAATTACCTGATGAAAAATCAAACTTGGATTTCCTCATCCTAGTACATGTATAACCCTTGAGATAAATTTTAATCTTGGGAAATGAATGCATTTACTTTTTTTCTATTCTGAGAAACCTTTTTTCAAGCTCACCTTTCAAATTGTCTGAAGGTATTCCATTATACAGTAGAATCTCATTACAACAAATCTCATGACAAACTTTTGCCTGCAACAATTTTTTTTCAAGTTCTGGCAGTTATCCTTAAGGTGTAGTTTGAATTAATCTCATTTTAACGAATTGACTGTGTACCAGCTCTCCGGTTACAATGAATTTTTGTCCCCAATTTTTAAAAATGTCGCAAAATGTTTCCAATTTTGGCTCTGATTTTTGAATTTTTCTTTCCTGAATGTTTGTACAATGCCCTGTTGCCTGGGGCTCATCAGTATATGGTGGACAGTATATGTCTTTCCCTCAGATTTATAAAAACAGGCAGCTAAAAATTGGTTACATTATTGTACAGCAGGAAGCTCATGAAATAAATGTACCCTGATAAATTTATCTATTGTCTAAGGAGTCTGGGAGCATAGCAAAACCTTGGAGCTGAGCCTCCAAGAGCCACCAAAATCTATGAATTTCATTCTAATGCTCTTTTGTGTGGAGTTTTATTTTAAAATCTAGAATTTGTTGACAATTTTTAATTATTTTACTGAAATGATCATGTTTCCAAGTTCCAAAAGCAGTTGAGAGAAGTCTTGGTGAATTCTGTGGCGAAAATACTATGCAAAAATTGCCCAGAGTAAAATAACTGACTATTTAAAGCAGTAAAATGCTTGTTCACATGTTAAAGTGTTGTTTCTGCAAATCAGTAGTACATAAATCTTGATATAACGAATTTTTTCTGGTCTGTGGGAGTTTGTTGTAATGAGATTCTACTGTATTTCTGTTTTCATTGGTTCATGATTTTTGGGAAAAGCATTAACTGTTCTCAATGCCTGCCATCAAGTCTTCCAAGTTTCAAGCAAAGCTTTTGAGTATTCAGAACTTCTGTATGAAACTTGGCTGTTCTGCAGAAAACTGTTCGGAAATTTGCCGGTCCTCAAAAACATTTTGTGGAAATTTGCTGGTTTCTGGGCCCAAAAAGGTTGGGGAACACACTGCTCTATAGCGTATGATCAGCACCACGCGGCTGCTGCCTGCTGATGCCCTGCTCCTGCGCCATATGGTGGTCTGATGTGCATGGTAACCTGATGGTAACCCAATTCAACCTGAACCATTCTGACACGGCCTGTAATTCAAGACTGGCGCATTGAATACCTTACTATATTTACTTGAGCGCCATCACGCACCCTTTTGAGTATAAGACCCGTACCTGCACGGGCGCCTATATATTATAGTTTCCTGGTCCCAAAATCAAGATAAAATCCTATCCCCATTGCAAGTAGGACACGCGCACCCCGTGTTTACTGTCTAAAACACGGCACAGCTTTCGACATGACATTCTTCGCAATCAAAATTTTGATTTGAATTGAACCCGAATTTTTTTTTTTCCCATGAGAAATAAACTGGTGTCATCCCTGAGATGCAGATGCAATTGGTGCCTTCGACCTTGTCCCTGAATATATTAGAGCATCCATCTGTTGAATCACTTGGAATTCCATGGGAACATATTTAATTGGTCCCCAAAATGTTGAATAAACTTGCTTTTCTCAGCTTCAAGATACAGAAAATTAATGTGCAAAAAGAAAAAAGAAAACACCCAGAATCTGATCTTTTAGCATCAGAAGGAGCTCAAGAAGAAAAAGAGAACAAGAATAAGTCTAGTTATACTGTGCAGCACATAATGAAGAGAGAAAGCTGTGCAAAACCCAAAATCAGCCTGTTTTTGATGATTAATTATGGTAAGTTTAGTGATTTTTTTTTTCTGAATATTTAGAATTTGTTTCATAGATATTATAATTGACAATAAATAATTTTCTTCAAATGTGTGTAGAAATGTTGGAACAGTTTCAATGCCTTATTGAGACATATTGTCCGGATATTGAGGTTAATTCTATCAGTTTCTGAATCCCTACAAAATGTTCAGCAGCTGTTGAAAACGTATTCTCAGCTTTGCGTGTCTTCACTACTGGATGATGTACCCAATCAGGAGGAGGAGGAAATTTTTTCTCAGATAGGAGGGGTCTAACAGAAGTTCCTGAAATGGAAATGAAAATGGCGTCTAATCGAGCTGAAAAAAATTATTCTTCAGGGAAAACATATTCTCTGGCACCCAAAAAAAATCAGCCCTGTTTCACAATTTTTTTAATATTTTGCCAAATTCACCCTGGCAGAGTTTTGCTATCCGCTCAAAAGATGAGACTCCCTTCCTGCAGTTTTTTTTTTGTAGCCTATCTTTTCTATCAGAATTCTTGAAATCAACATGGAATCAATTCCAAGGGTTGCCTCCAGGTCTTCCGAGGTAATTTCGCCATTTTCATCGACAGCCGCCTTCACAGCCGCCAATGTGGCGGCTGTGCAAACGTGGCTGTGCCAATGCGGCGGCTGTGAGGGCGGCCGTTGATGAAAATGGCAGAATTACCTTCGAAGACCTGGAGGAAACCCTTGGAATTGATGCCTGGTTGATTTCAAGAATTCTGAAGCTGAACTACAACAACAAAAAATCTGCCGGAAGGACGCCTCATCTTTTGGGTGGAGAGCAAAACTCTGCTTGGGTAAATTTTGCAAAACATTGAAAAAAAATTTCCAAACGGGGCTGATTTAATGAATATGTTTTCCCTCAAGAATAATTTGTTTCAGCTCGTTTAGACGCAATTTTCATTTCCATTCCGAGAACTTTTGTTAGAACCCTCGTTTATTGAAAATTACACATTGGATGAAAATTATTTCAATAACCCCTGTTATAATTATATGCATGAACGCGGGTTGCATGCAGTAGTACTTCTGAATTTTTCTTCCATTATTTTTCTCTTGGGGGGGGGGGGGGTTAATTCTGATGCGGTCTCTCTTATTGTCTGGATATTTGCGTGTATGTATAGGCCGTGGTGGCCCTCGGGTTCGCGACGGCCAGGTGCCGGGGCTACGACGACAGCTGCAAGGACCAGGCCAGCAAGCCGCTGTTGAGGCGGCGGCGGGGCAAGACGATCGACGTGGTGTCGACGACGACGCCGTCGGAGCCCCTGATGCCCAAGGCGTTTCTCGCCGTCCGCGCCCGCCGTCGGCCGTCGTCCTTCTCCAAGTCCTTCGACTTCGCCGCCTCCTACGAGACGTGAAGTCGTCAAGTCAGCTTGTTTGTACCCTGTCAGCCAACTCTCTTTTTCCGAGTTTTTTTCGTATTGCGGTGGATGCGAATAAAAGCGTGGCTTTTGTCAAATCCTGTGTCCAGGCGTCTTTTATTTTTTCTTCTCTCTCTCTCTCGCCTTCATCTAGTGTGCTTCTATACACTGTATTTCCGCTCTGCGCTGCTGATGAGATGCTGATGATGGTCGTCGTTCATTATTGATCGCACACATTTATCCTTAACCACCAACTTCTGTGGGGAAAACCATGCAAAATATATTTTTTGAAGGATTTTCTGCAAATAAGAATGAAGAGCACACAAAGGGAGAAAAATCCCAAGACTGATCTATACAGAGCTGAAGTCTGCTGGAAAAATCCAGAAGATTATTATTCATGCCGAAAAATGTTCCTGTGAAAACCAATTATCCACTTCTGGTTGTTATTTTATCCCCTGCATTCCTGCCATAGATATTAGTATTAGGGGATTCAGGAAACATCAACTTTCAGTAGAATTTCCTGGAGCCCAGACTACATTTTGATGATTTTATAGGTGTAACTGAAATATGCAACATGCCTGAATATATGTGTTGATATAAAGTTATCCAAGAATGTAAAGAACATTGAAGGGTTGAAGATGGCCTCTTGCATGTTTTATTTTTACTCTTTGCAGCTATTTAAAATTTCTCTCTCTCTCTCGCCTTCATCTAGTGTGCTTCTATACACTGTATTTCCGCTCTGCGCTGCTGATGAGATGCTGATGATGGTCGTCGTTCATTATTGATCGCACACATTTATCCTTAACCACCAAATTCTGTGGGGAAAACCATGCAAAATATTTCCCTTTGAAGGATTTTCTGCAAATAAGAGAATGAAGTGCACACAAAGGGATAAAAATCCCAAGACTGATCTGTACAGAGCTGAAGTCTGCTGGAAAAATTCAGAAGATTATTATTCATGCCGAAGAATGTTCCTGTGAAAACCAATTATCCACTTCTGGTTGTTATTTTATCCCCTGCATTCCTGCCATGGATATTAGTATTAGGGGATTCAGGAAACATCATTTTTCAGTAGATTTTTCTGGAGCCAAGACTACATTTTGATGATTTTATAGGTCTAACTGAAATATGCAACATGCCTGAATATATGTGTTGATATAAAGTTATCCAAGAATGTAAAGAACATTGAAGGGTTGAAGATGGCCTCTTGCATGTTTTATTTTTACTCTTTGCAGCTATTTAAAAAAGCACACAGCTGTAAACCTAAAATAGATCATCTCTATACATATGCAGCAAATAATTCACCCATTTTGAACCTCTGTATCACATGGGTGACAGTCACCAGTTTTGAGCTTTTGACACTGGGTTGTTATATTTTATGGGTCACAAATGAAAAACTCACCTGTTTCCCAATATGGGTGTGACACCCATATTTTTGGGATATGGGTGAAGTCCTGTGCCACTTCCCCACAAACTGCCATGCTACCCCCAAGTGCTGTACCATCTCCCCCAAAACAGGGTGGGGTGATATTTCCCCCACCCCCTCCCCCACTGTGCCATTTGGACCACTAGCATCACACTGTTCAGTTACTGTGAGATATACAGTGAGACCCCAAGATTTGTACATAATGGATGCATCAAGAGTGTCCCTCAGTTGAGTCTCATTTTCCCTTAGACTTACATTGTATAATAAAATTAACCACAAAACACCTGTTTTATGAGTCCATAATTCCATGAAAATAAAAAATTGTCTCCCAATTCAAACTGATTCAATCAATATATTTCAACACAATATGAACATTTGGGGAATTGAATAATATACTGATACCTCTGTACAGAACATATAATTGTTGGCATTCTCTGTAAACATAGCATTCAAGTGAAGAAAGAGAGAAGGACGTCCCTCTATGCTGGAGGTAATTGTTTTTATTAGCTAAATGGATGGTAAATTGGTGGGAGAAACTTCCAAGAACTTTTCCTACATCAGTTCTAAGGTTGGAATAAATTTCTTTTTCTTGTAATTTCTTGAAATGTTTTTCCAATTTTACCACAAAATGTTCCTATGTTCAGCCAGTGTCCTTATGTTGGTGCTTCTTTATTAATTTTTATGGGAAAATAAGTGTCCCAATGTCAAAATTTACACATGTTGAGGTCTCTGCATATGGGGGTCTCACTGTACTTGTAAACTGGCAAAGCAAAGCCAGTCAATACTATTTTTTTTTAATTTTAAAGGGAATTTTGACTTAGCCATACAGCACATACAAGGACAGTCCATCAAGCACAAGGACAGTCAATCACACACAGACACAACAATTTGCAAGACATTCCAAAGAAAATTTTAAAGCCCTTCAAGGATTCAAACTGGGGCCCAAAAACTTGGAGCATACCAGAATGACTACTATAAGCCAAACAGTTAACATGTGGTGTATATACAAGAGGAAACAGCTGTATTATAGCATTGAAGCTCTATTACTGTGCAATGAATGCACTAAAAATGCATCAGCTAAATAAATACAACAACAACTTACATCAAATCCAATTGTGAAGCAGGAGTTTGATTAACATACTTATGATATGGCTTATGAAATTTTCCTTAAATTAACTTTTGGTTTTGGCCTTATAGCTGCCTTGGCTAAAGAACCCTGACTTGGTTTACAAACTTTGCTTTGTTTATGACTGTTATCTGAATGGGTTTTTAAAAAATGAGCAAGAGCCTGTGATTTGCTGCCCAACTTGAATTTTTCATGCATTGATGAGCATTTTTTCAGTCTGAAATTCTTTATTATACAGGTAAAAAGGAGATTTCAATTTCAAACTTTTCTTTTTTCAAAAACATTTCTTGTAAGCCAGATGTTACTTGTTACTTGTTACTTGTAGATGTTTCTTGTAAATTACAGCATATTGAGGTTTATAACAACCAGCCTGGTGTTGTTCCTTTTTAGTCTATATGTTTGGAAGCCACCCTACAAATAAAAACAAACCAAAATCTTGAAAATCTACAAATCCATTCATGGGGATTTGACTGCGGTGAGTACTTTCCCACAATTGAAACTTGCAGAAAATCTTGATTATCTGCAAATCCATTCATGGGCAATGTAAAAAGACTAGTGAGACTTTCCAAGTTTTTGTTTCCAAACAGCAAACAGAATGGAAATCCATGAATGATATTGAATTTGGAAACTCCTTGACTTCTGTATATTTTTGTTAAGGTTGAGAATCATTGTACAGTATTAAAAAACTATTCTTTAGTTTGTAAAATTATAGATACTTTACTAACAAATGAAAAGATTTCAAGGACATCCACAGGTTGTTCCACTCCTGCACATCTGGAGAATGCTAAAACTGTTGAAAATTATACAATCCCTCTCAAACATTACCAAAGTGATTTTTTGTGCCACTCTTGCGTATTAGGGTCACAAAACGGGCTCAAAATTTCAATTTTTGTTATGATGAAAATTGAAAATTTTCCAGTTTCTGCCAGTTTTCTATACACCCAGGTCAGAGTAGGGTGCAAGCAATTTGTCACCCTCGCTAAAAATTGAAAGTTTTCTCATTTACATATACAGTACATCAGGATTTTTCTAAATTGTGTCTTTTTCCAAATTTTCAGCTGGACTGTTAAATGGGTGAAGAACTCTGGCAGAAACTGAAACATTATGCTAGCTTAGCATGATTAGACAATTTGAAATTTTTTCAATCTGCTAAACTCCCACCCAGAACCAAAGAAGATTCCAGACCAAATCTTCAAATTTGATTTACATTGGTATACCCAGTCTAAAAATACTCACAGCTAAGTTCAGCTGTTTCCCTTGTATATGTTTGATTAAATTCTTGTCTCAAATTCCAGCAGAAAGATTTTATTTTTGTAAGGAAACAGTGTGGATCTCTGCTGAAACAAAAAATTAGGCCCATCTTCCAGTGTAGCATTCAGGCCAAATTGTGTTTTAATGTGGCCCTGGCAGCACTGTACAAGATTGTATGTACAGTCATGTCAATATTTTTTACATGGCACACTTTTGGCACAGTGTGGCTGTACAACATTGTTATTTGGTGCGGTGTTGCTGCTGTACAACATTGTACAGCCACACCACACGAAATAACAATGTTGTACAGCCATGCTGCACTGAATACAGTCAATCTCCATCTAACAGACTGAATTCATGCAATGGACAAGTCTGTTGACAAAAATTCCTTTAGAATAATTCAATTATTTAAAGCAGTAAAATTTTAATGGTCAACACTAATTCTAAACCAACAGAAGTCTGTTTGATGGATTTTGTCTTTTGGGCAGGAGAAACTGCCTACAGAGATGGTCTTTTACACAAAAATCCCTTATGTGGGAGGTCTGTTAGACCGGGGGCCACTGTATTGTGGTTTGGCTGTACAATATTCTACAGCCACACCCAGGGTCGTTTTAAGGTGGGTGCTATTGATGCTTCACCCTTAGGCCCACCTGGCAAATACGCTAGTGGAGAATTCAAAAACAAAGTTCCCCAAGCTGGGGAATTAAAAATTCTGAATTCCTGAGCAGGGGAATTCCTCTTTTTGAAAAATTATGAAAACCCTATAAAAACTAAAAAGAAACAAGAGCAGTTATGATTTGAAAAATCATGCACCAATAAATCAATTCCAGTACACTGCACATAAAAATTATTTCTAAAACATCAGTAATTTATTAACACTTATGATGTAAAAAAAAAAAATTATTGAACCCATTCCCTTTCTGTGCCTCCTTAGACCCCCCACCCCTTTAGACATTATTGCCTTGGGTTCCATGAATCCAAGTGTCCCTTTTTTGCAGGGGAGATGCATTTTTGAACAACCACCCACCCCCCATGTTTAGAAAACCTTTTTCACCTTGCATCCTGGGAAACAGGCAGATCTCCCCCCTGCAATTTTTTACTGGGCCAAGGGGATCTTGTCCAAGCCATATTTTCTACAAGAACTTCCAGGGGGAGGAGCATGGCAAAGTTACCTGGACATGTTGTGTTCATGTTGCCTAGCTGTTCATGTTGGGTTAGGAAAATATGTCTTTATCTTGCCAGTTTTCAATAAAAGAAAATCCACAGTTTAAATATGTATTTTCTAGTTTTTCCAG